TCTCAGTGGATCAGTGCTCCAAAATGCAGCCTAGGTGGAGTAGTCGAACACAGATCCACTGATCCTTCAACAAAGAGCATCTTGAGGAGATAATTTGATAAAGTAAATTTTAAAAATCTGTATTGTTCCATACAAGTGTGTATTGAACCTAAAGCACAGTTCGATATGGGTACATGTACTGTATTGTTGCACCCCTATTGTGTGTGTGTGTGTGTATATATATGTGTGTGTGTGTGTGTGTGTATATTTTTTTTTTATTTTGTGCACAGACGATGCAATCAAAGCTCACAGAAAGAAAAATACAAAAGGCTGCAGAAAACTGTCCAAAGGACCCACCTGAGGTTCTGTGGGGAGCAGGATGTCTTCAGGTGGAGTCAGGCCCTTTTATGATGATTTCAGATTCCAGACACACCACTGGCTCCAGGCTTACAATACAATGACAAGCTAACAAGGACAGCCTCCTACCTGCAGAGGAGAGGAGGAGAGGAGGAGAGGAGGGGAGGAAACAAACAGGGGAGGAGGAGAGGAGGAGAAATGTCAACACGTTACATCATTAATTTATTAGCATTCCTTCTGATTCAAGCCTGCCGTCTTCTGTCCTCCACATCATCCACCTCTCCTTCATTTCCTCCTCCTCTCCCCCTCTTCCTGCCCTCTCTCCTGGGCTCGACTGCAGATTTTCACTTTAATTAAGCTCCTCTGCTGTGGTAGTTTTGTATTTTTTTAGATAAATCCAACGGTCGATTTAAAGAAATATAAGAAAAAGCAAAGTCGATTGTATCATTTGTTTTATTTATATTTCACATAAAATTCCTAAATGAACAAAGCAGGAAAAATGACACAGCTACATAWCCTCTGGACAAAAAATCCTCACTTTCTCTAACACCTTCTCAACCGTGGTCGCCTCAGTATCAGAAACATTTGAATGCACCTGGCTTCCTCTGAGGAACAKATGAGCATCAGCTGAACATTTGTGAACAGTAAAGAGTTTCTGAGTTAGATTTGAGAAGACAGCTGGAAATGAGTTGAGATTAACTGAAGTGAGGTCAGACTGAAGGACAGAAAGATGAAAAAAGAACAGGGTACAGGAAAGGATGTGATGAGCAGGAAAGATGATGATGATGATGATGATGATGATGATGATGATGATGATGATGATGATGATGAGGAGGAGGAGGAGGAGGAGGAGGAGGAGAGCTGAAGCTCAGGTGTCTCCTCAGCACTTCTGACTGACAGCTCCATGAGCATTAGCACCACCGCACAAGAGCGGATTAGCATCAGCATGGCCTCGCATTACACAAAAAGGGGATTAGCTTTAGCACATGCTAATGCTGTAGKCTAGATTAGCTCCTGCTACGGAGCAGAACAGCAACAGGAGAAGCGATTAGCCACGGTCTGACTCCATGCTGAAGATGATCAGGATCCCAGAGGACCGAACCAGGAGGACTTCCAAATGTTTAGAAAGAAATAAAACAAAGGTGGAGTTTAAATGTTCTCTCTGTGCACATGTGGGTTCTCTCCAGTTTGGCTCCCAAAAACCAAAAACTGTTTCTGTGCATGTTTTCATGTGTACAACCAAATAACTATTTTTTTTATTATTATGATGATGATGATGATGATGATGATGATGATGATGATGATGATGATGATGATGATGATGATGATGATGATGATGATGATGATGATGATGCAGGATGTACACCTTACTCTTCTTATAGCAAATTTATAAGGAAAGTATTTTAGCATGGATCTCTTATTTTTGGTAAATACTTATG